ATGTACCATTTTAACCACTTTTAGTATCTAATTCAGTGGTATTACGTACATGTACAGTGTTGTGCAACCATCACCCTGATTCGTCTCCAGAACTTTTTCACCATTCCAAACGGAAACTCTACACATCCATTAAACACTATTTCCCCATTCCCCTCTTCTGGTTTCCCCCGTAACCTCTGCCCTCCTTTCTGTCTCCGTGAACTTCCCTCCATTAGGTAACCCATATAAGTGGAATCCTTTGCTATTTGTCCTTTTGTGACTGGCTTGTTTCACTTAGCATAATGATCTCCAGGTTTATCCATACTGGGTATTTACCCCAAAGAACTGGAAGCAGGGACTCGAATCGATTCTTGTACACCAATACTCACGGCAGCATCATTCGCCGTGGCCAAGAGTAGAAACAGCCCGAATGTCCATCAACAGTTGAGTGGATAAGCAGAGGATGTTGTATACACACAGTGAAATATTAGTCTTAGAAAGGGAGGAAATTCTGACACATGCTAAAAAAAAAAGGAAATGGCTGGATCATGTGGTCATTCTATATTTAACTTTTTGAGGAACCGTCATGCCCTCATGTGATCTTTACACGCAGCCAACGATCAGGAACGCTGCTGTGGCCAGCATCCCTCTGACCTTCTAAGAGTACTGATTGGTAGTAGTTGATAAGCATTACTGAATGAATTTCCTCATCAGTGGCATCGTAGCCCAATGCAGTTGTTATCGTCACAAAGTCAAAAGACTAGTGGGTGGGTTCATGGAGTTGATGCCCTTTTGAAAACCCCACCAAAGCGTCTCATGGCCATCGGCAATATCACCTCAACTGTAGCTCCTCCCTTAAGTTGAACTGTGTCCCCGGGGATTTGGTAGTACTGATCATTTAAGAATCAGAGTTTCTGGATGACTTGCTTTATAGATAATAAGTTAGACCTGGTTCGAGACTCTCCCTATCATAATGCCATATCTATCATGATATCTTGTATGATTCTATCATAACATAGAGCTCAGCTATGTCTTCTTGAAAAGGAAAGACAGCATGTTGCACATATGAAAGTCTCCCATCTCAGAAAGCATCGCTGAACATCACTGAGAGCCCTTGGGAGTTACCCTGCATGTGAGGAATTTGTTTTTCTTGCTGTTCCACAGGGTACTTTTTCCTCGGTATTTTCACACTCCTTCTTGCTGCCAACAGATTACTCACCACTCCCACTCCCTGCTGGGAGCAGAGAGTGGAGTCGGTCCAACTTGTACTCTAAGGGCTAAACGAAAAAATTGACAAAGACTGAAATGTATAGTTAGGTATTGTAACTAGCTCATCTGTCCAGATTAGTCTATGCCTTTCATTGCCTTTGACTTGCTATTTTGCAACTCTGAGAGACGGAAGATGTAAAAAACTGATACTAAAGCAAATAATACTTAATTTTAAGTAAGTAAATTCTTTCAGGGGAGGTGTAACTGATATCCCTCCCCCACTGTGGAAGAAGCCAGTTTTGCATCCATGAAGCTAATTCATTTCAGTATCCTCCAGGGTTTACATATTTATCTTGTTTCTAGATTCTCCTTTGAAGTGGTTGTAACAGCTTTCTGGTTCCCTTGTTCGCTAATGTGTTAAATACAAGCTGTGACATGTCTTAATTGTACATTTGTTGAAGTCATGATTTTAACTTTCTTAAAAAAAAAACAACAACATGAAACAAAACAAAAACCCTGTCCTATCCAAAATCTGGAAGACTGACACCACCAAATGCCCACAGCTGGCTAGTGGAGCAACAGCTACTCCCACTCACCGCTGGTGGGAATGCACGAGAGTACAGCCACTTCGGGGAAACATTTTAGCAGTTTCTTACAAAACTAACATACTGTATTTTTTAGGCTATGAGATGCACCTTCCTGGGCTTCCCTCCCCCCTGCCCTGCCCCACAGTTTGGGAGGAATAATGGTTGTTAATGCTGCTGTTGAGTTCTGTTTACATTTATATTGGTGAAATGTGTTATTTATGTTATTAAATATTTTACCACCTTTTTTACTTCAAAAGTTTTTTTCCTATTTTCCTCCTCTAAAATCTAGGTGCATCTTATGGTCCAAAAAATATGGTACTCTTACTATACACCCAGCATTCATACTCCCAGATAGTTACCCAAAATGAATCAAAAACCTTTGCCCACACAAAAACCTGCACACACAGATGTCTGTAGTAGCTTTATTCACAATTGCCAAAACTTGGAAGCAACCAAGATGTCCTTTGGTGGGTGAATGGATAAATTGTGGTACAACCAGGCAATGGCATATTATTCAGTGCTAAAAAGAAATAAGGTATCAAGCCATGAAAAGACATGAAGGAAACTTAAATGCATATTACTGAGTGAAAAAAGCCAATCCGAAAGGGCTGTTTGATTCCAACTATATGACATTGAAAAAGGCAAAAATATGGAGACAGTAGAAGGACCAGTGGCTGCAAAGGGTTGGGAGGGAGAAGGGATGAACAGATAGGGCATGGAGAATTTTTAGGATGGTGAACATACTCTGTATGGTAGCATAATGATGGATACATGTCATCATAAATTCGTCTAAACCCATTGAATATACACCACAAGTGAACCCTGTAAGTATGCACTTACAGTGTTACAATGTACCAGGGTAGGTTCATCAGCTGGAACAAATGTACCATACCTCTCTAATGGGAGGGGTTGATAATGGGAGAGGCTATGTGTATGCGAGGGCAGAGGGTATGGGGGAAATCTCTGTACCTTCTTCTCCATTTTGCTGTGAACCTAAAACTGCTCTTTGAAAATAAAGTCTAGCCCTGGCGCATGTGGCTCAGTGGATTCAGTGCTGACATGCAAACCAAAAGGTTGCTGGTTCAATTCCTGGTCAGGACAAAAGCACAGGCACATGCACTGGGCCAGGTCCCCAGTTGGGGACACGTGAGAGGCAGCTGATGGTTGTCTCTCTCCCTCTCTTTCTCCTTCCCTTCCCCTCTCTCTAAAAATAAATAAATAAAATATATTAAAAGTAAATAAATAAATAAAGCCCAGCCCCAGCCAGTTAGGTGGGCATCATTCTGCAAGTCAGGGCACATGCCTGGGTTGCGGGTTGGGTCCCCAGTCAGGGTGTGTACAGAAGGCAGCCAATCGATGTTTCTCCCAACCACCAGTTAACAGTATTTGGTACAGAGCCTGGCACAGGTAGGCACCCAGTAAATATTTGTTAATGAATGAATAAATGTAGACAAGTGCGTGTAGTTAGTCTTTGCCATGCATGATTCATTGTGGAGGAAGAGTGTGAAATACTACTGAAATACTTAGGTACTATTCCAAAGTCAAAATCAAAATGGAAAAAGTCCCCTCAACCTTTGGGAGATGCCAGCAAGAATGGGCTATAAGGGATGTGGAGATCCTTGTAGCTGAGAGTGAACTCAGGGGCCTCCACCCAGAGGCTGAGTCCAACCGCAATCACACAGGTGCAGGGCATCGAATAAGGGAGGGAGACAAGGAATGCCATTCAAGTCCAAGACCCAGGTGTCCTTGCCTTCTGTTGTGTACAGATCCCAAGACCTGCAGGTTTTCTCCTGAGCTGGGCCACTGAAAACCTATCCAGATAGGAGCTAATATGTTATTTTGGCATTTTTAAAGTACTATCTACGGACAAATTGTGTAAAGGAAGAAAGGAATCTGAGTCAGTTTTCCAGAGTTGTGAGTGTCTTGAAGATTACATCAGTGGATTTCCATAGAATGAAACCACAAGCTTCCTGCCAATGGATTGGTGACACAAAGATCTGTGTCACTTTCAACTAATGAGGAAAAACTCCCAAGTATATTGTCTATAGACGTGCATGGACTTTTAAGGAGCATTTAAAAGCCAGATATCCAGTCTGTTTTTCTGTTATATTTATATAAACATAATGGTTAGTATATAGAAAAGGAAGCTGAATTGCTGTTTATTATAGTGTCCCGAAAATTAACGTGGCAATTTTGAGAGTACTAATACAGACTGCATTACTTCTTCCAGACCAAGGCAAATTGAGTATGAAATGAGCTTTTGCATTTGCAAGGATAATAGCCATCATTTATTAGCTGCTCTGTGCCAAGCAGTGTCAAGTGCATTATATACAACAATTCCTTTAATTCTGGTAACAACTCTCTACATATTCAGTCCCATTTTAACAGATGAGGCAGAGAATTAAGAAACTTATTCAGGGTCTTAAAACTAGAATCAAGCAGATCTTCCAGGTCATACACTTAGCCATTATATTACATTCCCAACTCTGTAGTTAACAGTGATGAAAAAGTACAGTAATTGCTTGTGCTAAAATGTTGTGGTGGAGGCTGTATACAAAGCAACTACCTCGCCAACAGGTAGTGAGAATTTGGGTGTACAACTTGGTGCTACAGAAAATCCTGCTGTCCTGGGATGAAAAAGCTAATGCACCAGAAACTGGGCCAGGAAACCTTGTGTCTGGGAGCTATCTGGCTGCTCACACTTTGTAAATTGCTGCTTTTGTCCCAAAACGACACTATAGTTTTCAGTGGGGCATCAACCTTGAACATTGATTGCTACGACTGGGAGAACGAGCTTAGGTGCAGCCAGCGCTTATCTCATCTACCCTGGACCCTTCCAGGGGAGGGCAATCTCTATAAGGTTGTCTGCTTTGATTTATGAAGCTTGTGGGTGGCAATCTGACCTGGGAGGAAACCAGGCGATTTCTGCTAAAAATAATAATAATAAAATAACAATAATTTCCAAGATGTTTAAAATACGCCACAGCCCAGTTTTGTTTTGTTTCGTTTTTTATGTCTAGGCACAGATTTCGCACAATTTCTATTAAGTATCTGGAGTCGAGCACCACTTCCCTTAACAATGCCACACACGTCAATCCCTAAAACAAGGAAGCCTCCGCTGAGGTTGCCCAATGCCGGTGCGGTGACGTCGCCCGGCACACGCAAGTCCCTGAATCAGCAGAGCGCGGCGCTGAAGCAAGGGGCCGGGGCCGGCGACAGAGAGCCCGAGCACTCCCTTCCTTGGCGTGGGGCAATCATCCTCCCACGGTCTCGGGAAGCCCCGACGCCTCACGCGTCCTCGCCGTAGAGGAGCCGCCCGGGCGTAGTTCCTCCACCGCTTCCTCCTCCAGCGGCAACCACCCGATCCTTCCTGCAGAACCAGGACTCCACCTCCCGGGGTTTGAAGCGCGCGCCTCCGCAGGCGGAGTTGGTAGGGAGCCGGGGGCAGGCGCGAGGTGGTGCGCACGCGCGCACAGTGGGCGGCCCCGCCCCCGCCCACGCCCACGCACCGCCTCCTCGTCGCGGCCGCCGCGGCCGGTCCACCCGGCTCCCGGCAGCAAACCTGTCTCGGCGGGGCGGGAGCGGAGCTTCCTCCTCCGTGTGCGGTGCCGCGCCGCCGGTTTGTCCTTCCGCCCCTGCCTCCGCGGCACTCGAGCGAGCGAGGCGACGAGCGGAAGGTGCACTGGAGCCGACGGTCGCGATGCGGCCGGCGGGAGCCGCCGCAGTCGCGGCGGGGTCGCCTGCACGGGAGATGCCGCAGTGCGGGGAGCCGCAGCAGGCCCTGTCGCCCCCGGCTTCGCAGCTGCCTCTGGTCGCACCTTCGGGGCCGCCGCTCCCGGCTCCGGGCAGCGTGACCATCAACCGTCTTCCCGAGCCGCTGCTGCGGAAGCTCAGCGGGAGCTTGGACCGAGCGCCCGAGGGCCGAGGCTGGAGGAGGCTGGCGGAGGTTGCGGGGAGTCGGGGGCGCCTCCGGCTAAGGTGAGGCGCCTGGGGCGCAGGGGCGGCGTCACGTGGAGGCGGACTTGGGCGGGGGGCGCGCGTGTACAGTGCGGTGGGCACTGGGGTGGGAGGACCGAGGCTCGTGCGGGAGCGCGCCGTGGCCACACAGGTCGTGCAGGGGCCGCTGGTGTGGAAGGAGCCCCGAGGTGGGACTCGGGGAGCACTTCGGTAACCTTGCAGAGAGAGCTTTGACCCAGGAAAGGGCTGGACATGCGAGAGGTTCGAGATTGGGGCCCGGTGTTGACACCCTTTCCCTCCGCTTCTCCCTTGGGGCTGAGAAAGAGAAGTGGAGGTTGACCGAGGAGGATATTGACAGCAGGAAGGCTCTCTGGAGACCATTATGATAGGGCAAAATTCCGAGGGACTTAAAGTGCAAACCGATGGGATATGGACACAGGCCTGGGAGACCTCAGGAAGGTTAGGAAGAAGTGCAGGTAAAGAGATAACGAGAGTGAAGAGTTTGGGGTGCAGGAGTTCATGATGAAGCTTCTTACGTGGGGAGAGAAGGATGGTGGGAAAGACTGAAGCTAAACTCACCATCTTCCTCCATCAAACCAGCTCACCAAGTTGGCTTCTTGAGCTCACTATGAACGTTAAACTATAAGTGAAACTGTTTTCCTGTCACCAGGCTTGGAACCGCTGTATTGGTGGTTCTTGAACTTTTCGTCTCAGGGTTCCCTCCAGGGGTGTCCCATCTTGTGGGCCACCCTGGAAGAAGAGTTGTCTTGGGCCACACATCAAATATATTGCTATGCGTAATCACACACAAAAAATCCCATAATGTTTTAAGTAAATTTACTATTCTGTGTTGGGCCCCATTTACAGCCATCCTGGGCCACAGGTTGGACGCCCCTGAGAAACTCCTTAAGAATTATTGAGGACCCAGAGAGTTTTTTGTGTGGGTTCTATATATTACATACATATAGCACATACTGAGTTTTGCCATGTTAGAAATTAAAACTAAGACAAATTTAAAGTATTAACTTACTTTAAAAGAATAACCCATTGCAGCCCTGGCTGGCATAGCTCAGTGGATTGAGCACCGGCTGCGAACCAAAATGTCACAGGTTCGATTCCCAGTCAGGGCACATGCCTGGGTTGCAGGCCATGACCCCCAGCAGCCGCACATTGATGTTTCTCTCTCTTTCTCTTTCTCCCTCCCTTCCCTCTCTAAAAATAAATAAAATTTAAAAAAAAGAATAACCCATTGCACGTTAACAGAAATAACATGTTTTTGTGGCAAAACAAAGACAATTAGAAAAGTGGCATCATTTGCCATTTCGCAGATCTCCGTGTCTTGGCTCCATTGCAGAGAGCTGGTGGCTCCGTTTATGTGCTTCTGCACTCGGTGTGTTGCGCTAGTGCAGGCCGTGTAACACCAGATACTCCAGTGAGCACTCCTGGGGAGAGTGAGTGAAAAAGATAAATAACACGTCGTAGTGTTATTTTGAAAAATCGTGGTGACCTTGTGGATCCTGTGAACGGCTCTCCACACCTGCACGAGGGGTTCCCCGACCACACGAAGAACCCCCGCTCTTTACCGTTGTGACGATTTGGATCTCTCTTTGCAGCGCTTTTTAACTTCTCATGTCACTAAACTTTGTCTTATACTATACATTGTTTATGTACTTCTTTATAAACCCCTTGAGAACAGGAATTATTACTTAAGATTCTATGTATCATGCACAGAACCCATCTCAGACACTCTGAATACTTTTGAACTAAGAGGAGCAATATTCATTCAAAATTACATTTACCGAGTGCCTGTTATTTGCTAGAAGTTCCAGATAATAAAAAGATGATGAGTATTTAGCTCCTATTTATAAGGGCTTAGTAATGGACTGTCATTCTGGAACATTCCCAGGTAACATGTAAAATGCTACGTTGGTTATGAAAAACAATGACAGATTTTTATCATTTTATTAACCACTTAGTACATACCGATGTACCGAGTGTTTACATGCATTGTCTACTTTACCCCTCACAAGAACCTTGAGTTTCAGGGACTTTGGGTTAAACCACAGTCGTGGTGATTGGGGGTGATTGGGCCATACGGAGGAGTCACAACGCGAGGATGGAACCAAGAGGTGGAAAGCTCACGAAGCTGAGCAGACAGATAGTGTATTTTTTTTCTCTGCTGTGCAAAGAAAATCCAAAATACGATTATTCTAGGTCCATAGATTTCTGAACTCCTAGACTTACAGTGATGTAAACAGTTGTCTTTCTTGGGGGTCGGTGCACCCGGTCTGTGATGGGTTAATCTGTGGCATTGTCTAGTCCTCGTGTTAGGCTTTGGGATTCCCTGAGGAGGGCTCCTACTTGGTGGTGAAGCAGAGAGAAGAAAGGAAGGCTCTACCACTGCAGACGCGGGGCTGGTGGGATCCGAAAGCAGTGGACACCTGACATCAGGTGTTCAGCTTTCCTTCCTAAGCCTTCGGTCAGATTGTGTTAAAGGCTACAGAATGGTGTTAGCTTTCTATACCGTCTGGTGAAGACACTGGGGAGAAAAGGGCAGTTGCCGGGAAGAGGTGACAGGCAGCGAGGGCGTGCATACGTGGGATCTGGGGGTTTCGGGGTGGGAAGTCAGACGAGAGATCAAGTTTCTCCAGTCTTCCAAGATACTGAAGGTTAGTGTGGAGTGGGCTAGTTGTGGTGAGGGGTGTCAGGGCATCCCGAAGGCTGGAGAACTGAAGACCATTAAGCTCACCTACCTACTGAAATCAGAATTAAACTGATAGAACAAAAGGTGAGCACTGGGAACCTGAGGGCTAGAGAATGACACCTGAGGGGTGCAAGGTAAGCTGGCGATGCTTACTCTATTTAAGACCAAAAAAAAAAGTTCTTTTAAAGTCATTTCATACTAATGGCAGAAGAACACCTATAACAGTGCAGGGTCCTAGAGGTATCTTTCTCCAGAGTCAAACCTAGGAATTGTGTGAGAGTCCCAGTGGGTAGCAGCTCCCAGAAAAACAGAAAGTGCTTTTTCTCTGAGTCTCTGGATTCACAGCCCTAAAACCTGAAAACGTTGCCTATTCTGGTTCTTTTCGCTTGTTTCTGACTCTCTCCTTCCTCAGACTAGATGAGAATAAATAAACCACAGGCCTCTGTTCTGAACTGCCCATCAGGAATTCGAAATAATAATTGTAAATGTTTTCAGATGGTTCCTGATGACTCGGAATAAATCCTAGCCTGTAGTAGTTTAGTTGCCCACAACCATGACCGTACGGAGATGCCCTCAATACAAACTCAGGCCTAATTCCCGTCCAGGCTGAGCTGATACTGACCACTCTTTGCTGGCCGTGTCCATAGGTTCTGAGGGTTGTGCCCAGGCTACATAAACTCTGTGGTGGTGCAGACAGCGGGAGCCGCAGAGCTCCTGGGGGCACCAGTTTGCCGCCTGAAATCCTGGAAGGAGGAAGCTTAGAACATGGACCACGGAAACCAGTCAGTCCCTGCATACCTGCTGTGTGCCAGGTGCTCCGGTAGCTGCAGAAACCTGCCCTCGGGGAGCTTGTGGTGGGAAGGGGAACAGGTGTGAAAGGCTGGAAGGAAAGCGCTCCTCCTGCCTCTCTCCCTCCTGTCTCTGCGGGCCCAGCACTTCGGAGTGCCTGGGGAATGGGCTTTGCCTCTCCTCGTCCACACGGCACCCGGTCCCCTTCTCGGTGTTACCCTTTCGTCTCCTGACTCCACGTCTGTCTGGGCTGATTACTCTCAACTCATGTCTTCAGTGCATGTCTGTGTTTTGAAGTCCCCGTTCATACGTGTAGAAGACTATTTGCCATCTCCTCTGGATTGACTAATAGACATCTTAAACTTGGCATGTCCCAAAATTTAGCAGAAGCCTCTTTCCTTTGCAGTTTTGTGCATCTCAGTCGGTGGCAACTGCCTCCCTCCGGTTGCCGGGGCCCAGAACTTCGGAGTCTTTCCTGACTCCGCTTTTACACGCCGCTTCCACGTTCCCGCGCACCTTGTCTGCTGTCTCTTCCGTGTAGATCCGGGATCCAGCCCTAGCGGCTACGGCACCAGGGCGAGCCAGCGTCCCCTCTCGCCTGGGCTATCCCGGTAGCTGCCTAACTTCTCCTCCTGCGTTGTCCCACCCCCAGTCTGTCCTCAATACATCGGTAAGAATGATTCTTTTAAGACGTTACAACAGTCTTAGCCTTCCTCTGCTCACAACGCAGAGTAGAAACACAACTTAGCTAACATGACCTCTTGGACCTGATGTCCATATTGTCTCCCTCCCCTTCTCTGCTCGTGTTCAAGCCTGCTTTCTGGCTTCTCCGTGCAGACTGTGTATCTTTGTGCTGCTGTGTACTCTGCCTGAGTTGGTCTGTGCAGGTGGACCTCGTGACTTGCTCCTTCACCCCTTCAGATGTTTGCTTAAAAGTCACCCTCTCCTGGCTGGCAAAGCTCAGTGGATTGAGCGCGGGCTGCGAACCAAAGCATCACAGGTTCGATTCCCAGTCAGGTCACATGCCTGGGTTGCAGTCCATGACCCCCAGCAACCACACATTGATGGTTTCTCTCCCTCTCTCTCTCCCTCTCTCCCTCTCTCTCCCCCTCTCTCTCTCCCCCTCCCTCCCTTCTTCCCTCTCTAAAAATAAATAAATAAAATCTTAAAAAAAAAGAAGTCACCCTCTCAGCCCTGGCCAGGTAGCTCAGTCCGTTAGAGCATTGTCCCCATCCACCAAGGTTGCAAGTTTGATCCCCGGTCAGGGCACATACAAGAAACAACCCGTGAACGCATAAATAAGTAGAACAACAAATCGATGTTTCTCTCTCTCCCTCCGTCTCTATTCTCTAATGTCAGTTCAAAAGTCACCCCTCTCAATGAATCCTTCTCTGGTCGCATTATTTAAAATTACCCCCTACATCTATCCTCTGCTCCAACTTTGCCTGTCCCTCTGCTCTGCTTTGTTTTTCTCCACAGGCCTCAGTGGAGACAATCGGGTGGATGGGTATATATATACAGAGAGAGAGAGAAATCTGTGTGTGTGTGTGTGTGTGTGTGTGTGTGTCCTCCTCCTATAAGGAAATTCAGGAGGAGAGGGAATTTTGTGTTGTTTGCTGCTATTCGATATATCCTCAAAGCCTAGGGAAAAAGACTGGCCTATTTTACATGATTAGTAAATAGTTGTTGACTTAAAGAATGAAAATTCCAAAGAGTAAGTGTATCAAAAAGAGAAGAGCCTACAAACAGTGCCATAGTTTGTACCCTAAAGGGTGAATGATATGTTTCATTTGATTATATACCTTTAAACATAAAGATAAGTATACACACACTTTTTAAATGTATCAGTAAGAGTCTTTTTGTTCAGTAAGAGCCTTTTCGTTCAAATCAGAAATTCCAAATGAGGACTGGTGGAAACCACTTCAAAGCACAGTCTTACAGGAATGTAACTAAAAAAGAAAGAGAAGCCGGGTACTCATAAGCATCATCTGAGTCGAAAGCCGGTGCTCGTGTGGAAAATTCTTCAAAGGGAAGCAGACAGAGAAATTTGTTTTTCTCCGGTGCCTCTTGTTTTGGAAGCGACATCATTGTCTACTTCAGTTTGATACTTACTTGTTTTATAAGGGAGAAAAAAGAAAGACTTTCCTTTCCTCTGTGTCAGTAGAAACGTTAATTACAGCATGACTTGGTGGCATTTGACAAGATGGCCCCTTGATTTCATGGATCAGGCCCAGATAAACTTTCTGAATCATGAAGACTACACTCATCATACAGCACCTTTGTTTTTACCGATCTCACGTTCTGAGTATTTGAAAAGTTTGTGACCCTTATGCTGTCTCTAATACCGGCTCCTTGACCTGGCCATTACGAGGACTGGGGATGTAAATTTGTACAAAATAAAGGACCAACGGGCCTCTTCAGCTTTTGTTTCTGCTACTGTTGGAGTCACCACTATGCCGTAAAAGAAAAGGCACTCTACTGTCAGAAATACAGGGAAGACAATCTTTGAGTAAAAGGCAGTCTTGGCCCGATTTTCATCATACCCCACCACGGACTTCAGACTGTGCTGCCGCCAGTCTGCACTGCAGAGGTGGGAGTGGGTGATCCACGTGTCGTGGAGATTCCCGTTTAACCAGAGCTTGAATGTATCAATGTAACCAGGGCCCGTAGAGAGGAAGACCTAGTTAACAGTGATAGGGGGCGTTGGAGGACAGTATCAGGCTACCGAAATAGTAGCTGCTCAAAACATTTCTAAGGTAAAACTAAAACGGTTTCAGAAATAAACATGATTAAGAAATCAGTGTTAGCTGGCTGGCGTAGCTCAGTGGATTGAGCTCGGGCTACGAACCAAAGTGTCGCAGGTTCGATTCCCAGTCAGGGTACATGCCTGGGTTGCAGGCCATGACCCCCAGCAACTGCACATTGATGTTTCTCTCTCTCTCTTTCTCCCTTGCTTCCCTCTCTAAAAATAAATAAATAAAAATCTTTAAAACAATAATTAAAAAAAGAAATAAAAAGAAATCAACCTTAATATTCTTTGGATCTTCCCATGCTTTTATTGCATAATAAGAGCTTTTGTTAAGTGCTTGTCATTTACTAAGCACTGTGCTAAGTTCTTTTTACGTGGATTATCTCATTTAATTCTAACAGTCCTGTGAGATATGTGATATTACCATTGAAATTATTTTGGTTGGGTATGTTTTTTTATGAGATAACTAACTTGATCACAGAATTGTAAGTCTGGCAGGACCTCTCTATAAATGCTGTGTCAGCAGAGCCATAAAATTGCTTTCAGTTAAACTGGTCAAAGTGAACATGGCTGGAGAATAGTTCAAGGCACATGAAAGCTGGCTGACCATAACTCTGCCGCCGCTGCGGTGGCACGATTATGCTTGATTCCTTCCCCTTTTCAGGCCTGCAGGCTTTCCAGTTGTGGTTGAAATTCACTCAGTAGTCACTCAATTTTGAATAATTAACATGGGCAAGACAGATTTTTGGTACTGAGGGATTAAATATATATACATATATTTTAAAGATCTTATTTATGTATTTTTTTAGAGAGAAGGGAAGGGAGGGAGAAAGAAAGGAAGAGAAACATCAGTGTGCGGTTGCCTCTCACATCCCCCCTACTGGGGACCTGGCCTGCAACCCAGGCGTGTGCCCTGACTGGGAATCGAACCGGAGAGACCCTTTGGTTTGCAGGCCACACTCAATTCACTGAGCTACACCAGCCAGGACTAAATGGATATATATATGATGGGGTTTCTGTTTCAAGGAGTACTTTAATCTAGTTAAGATATGCTTATGAAAGAAAAGCTCAGGGCTTTAAGGCAGAATAATGTCGAATTAGACACACAGACCAGGGGTCTGCAAACAGTGGCCCACGGGACAAATTGAGGCCACTGCCTGGTTTTGTACAGCTAATGAGCTACCAGTGGTTTTGTAGTTAAAAAACTGTTAAACAAAACAAACAAGAAAGAAGATTGTGTGATAGAGTCTCTGTGGCTCGTAAGCCTAAAATATTTACTCTCTGGCGCTCGAAGGAAAAGGTTGCCAACCTGTGGTATATAAGATAAGCACCATTAGGAAGCTGTGTCTAAAGTGGGACTGATGGATCGGTTGCGGGTCTGGGAGAAGCGAGAGTTTGTGTTGGTCCGTGGTTCAAACTGGCAGAAAGCAAGGGGTGCCTGCAAAGGTTTATGAGGTGAAAATTCGACAGATTACCTACAGGCTTTTGTTGCCTTTATTGTTGGTTATGTCTCCTTGAAAAGTTTTTTTTGTTGGTTTGTTTTGGTTTTGGTTTTGATTGTTTGATTTTCCTTGATTTTTTTTTCTTCTCTTGAGTGTTTGATACTTGTATTTGCCCTTCCTGTGAAATGACTGAAATCTATAGCCCTTGTCACTTAACTCATGGCCCCCCACAGTCTGACCTTAGCCCGCATTTCTAACTTTGTATACCACCTCTGAGCCCAGTAACATTGCAAAGGACATTGTATATGTGTGTTAACTACCAATATGCAAGAAGGATAGTTTCAGCAAGAGGACAACGAGAAAAAACATAAAGATTCCTAGAGCAGGGGATAGCAGGCTTCTCCGTAAAGAACCAAATAGCATTTCCAGCTTTGCAGCCCAGCTGCTCACCTGTGTTGTTGCAGCAGGAAAGCATCCATGCCCCTCTGTAAACATGGAAGTTAGTGAGTGTAGCTGTGTTCCTGTCAGCCTATTCACAAAATCAGGTGACCGGGCAGGTGGAACCCACAGACCACAGTGCACCTGCCCCTGTGTTAGGGCGCTTCTGAGCACTTACAAGTCCTTTGACCATCAGTAGCATCGTCTTTTTTTTTTAATTGTTGAGAAAATGAGTGCACATAGTGAAAATTCAGGAGTGCAGAAAGCTTTGTAGTGAAGAGGGAGCCATCCAGCCATGAGCTCTGCCCACACCCCCTCTCCAGGGCTGCCACTGCTGCTGGTTTCAGAGTTACTGATGCAGACTCCGGCCAGCGGGGTCTGTGCGTTGTGGCTGCGATGAACAAATTCACACAGACTGCAGAAGTCCCGTGGAGAAGAAGGGACGGCGTGGCCACTCTCTGAGAGAGAGAGTGCCTCGACCATTGCCTGGACAGGCTTCTGTTGCTTTCTAGTGGCATTACATCCAAGAAGGTTCTCATTCATTATACTTAGGTTTACTTTAAGTGATTACTTCTTACAGATAACAAAGAAAAAAAATGTTGCAAATGCAAGGGAACAAATAAAAATGATTGATCTGGTTACATTCTGTCCTTGGGACAGCTTAGCACAGACTTCAGGGAGTTGCTTCAGAGATATACATTAAACACGTGCAGTCTTAACTCAGAGTGAGGGAGTTTTAGCAAAAGCAAGCCTTAAAGCAGCGTAGGTACAATGCCAGCCTGGTTCCCCACGGGAAAGCCGATCTGCAGGCCTGGGTCCTGTGTGCCACCTCCTGCCCGCCGGTTTTCCGACTCAGTGCTGGGCTACATTCGCCACTGCCATGCCGACTGGATCCCCTGCAGTGGCAGGAGGAAGGAAGAACAGTGGTATTCATAACGTAAATAGCTTTTCAGCACTCAACACCTTGCCGTTTATTTCCTGCAATACCTCTGGTGCCAAGCATAGAGTGGGCGTATTACAGTGAAGAAAACGGCTGACTTGAATTAAATCTGTTGCTTTCAGCTGCCTGGACTTGGAGCAGTGTTCCCTGAAGGTCTTGGAGCCCGAAGGAAGCCCGAGCCTGTGCCTGCTGAAGCTCCTGGGCGAGAAGGGCTGCACTGTCACGGAGCTGAGTGACTTCCTGCAGGCTCTGGAGCACACCGACGCCCTCCAGCTCCTCAGCCCCCCAGGTGGGCCTTTCCCCGCGTGTGTTCCCCACGGGGGTGTTCCCCAGGGTCCTGGAGGCACACTGGGCGAGACTGGCGTGTTTGACCAGATGCACTGTGTTACATGTTTTTGGAAAAGGTAGAAGTACGGAGCCTCCATTTTCCCCAAGGTTGACACATATAAAGAACATGTAAAAACCAAATACAATGCATAAACATCAATTGGCTTGCAGTTTAAGAAACCAGCTATTCAAGGCATTTTGGGTCAAGTAGCACAATTTCAATATAACCTGCTTATTAGATATTAGGGAATTGTGTGATGATGGTATTGTACTTCTATAGAAAACTGTCTTTATTCCAAGGAAATACATGCTAAAGTATTTAGGGGTAGGATTTCTGTGACTTCTGTTGAAATATTATAGCCAAAAAAATAAACACACACGTATTTCTTTATATGTGTGTACACGAATGAGGTAAAGCAGGTATGACCAATAGTTAACAGTTTAAAGGTTTTGGCCAACACGATGCTTTTGAAATGTTGATTGTTTCAATCGTACGATTTTTTTTTCCTGGCCCTCTCAGTGCCGAGTGAGGCCTCTCACTTCCAAAGTGCAGTGAGAGGAATGGGAGGCAGGCAGAGCTGGTGGGCGGCAGGAGGGGCCGGCAGGAGGGGCCAAGGCGTCTCAGGCTGCGGCGGCACCGGCACCGGCACCGCAGACCTGCTTCCCCGGACGCCCAGGACGCCCAGTTCGCCTTCACGGGCCCCACTGGGGAGGCCGAGGACGGAACGCACGGTGCTCTCTGCTTCACGGGCCTTTGACGCGTGCACCGTTTACTACACAGCAGACTTGTTTGTGATGCTGTGTTCAAGGTAACACGAGAAACCTAGAATTATCACTCCGACCTTGTCTTTGACTTTGTCAGTTCGGGGCTTGGGGGTGCGGGGCCCGTGGTAGCGGTGTGCCGTCGGTTACATGGCCCGGAGAGCCCAGCTCAGATGGGCGTGGCAGAGGGGGCGTGTGGGCTCTTCTGACTGAAAAGCCTTGAAGCAGGTTGGGCTTCAGGAAAGGAGGCCGGGAACAGCCCTGTTTCCAAGGCGTCGGTTTATTTTCATCTTGGCTCTTCTTTCCTGCCCCTGGCTTCCCCCTAAGACTGACTGTGTACGTAGGTAGGCACAGGGTGTCTGCTGCTCATTCTTGCATTCATCCTTGTCCCCGCAAAAATCATAAGAGTCACTCTAATGAGCTGACGTCGTCCCTTCGTGCCTGTTCCTACACCCGTCACCATGGCCAGGGGACGGAATGTGCTGATTCATTCGCCTGGCCTAGAGCCCGGGGTAGAGTTGGGTTGAGTCCGCTTTCCAGAAACCACACCGAACAGAATCTGCACATGGACCACCAAGCACAGGTGGGCCTGTCGGAAGGAGAAAGGGGGTCGGTCACAGGTCCTGGGGCAGTAACTGAAGTGTCTACTACAAATGGAAAGGACCCTGGATTGTGTGAGTCAGGCATCTTGGACTTCCAGATTGATTATCTTCCACTTTACAAGGCCTAATGTAGATGATACAGTAGGCCTCCTGTAAATGCCCGCTTTGTGTTACGCATTGTAATAGATGCTCGACGCATGTGTTTCTCACTGACTTCTCATACCAAGACATAAGAGGCAGGAACCACTAGCTGCTCATGCAGAATCCTGTCTACATAGAACCAGTAAACTCTCCTTAAGGTGATCTTCATTCCTTTTTATATTCCCCAGTGCCTGGAATCTTACCCAGCGGTTGTGATGATTAAAATCCCCCAGGCTGAGGTACTCTGCTAGCTACCAAGTTCTCATACCTATGGAGTACCTGGGCCTCTGGCAATTTAGGAACCTCTCAGGGAAGGAAATGTAATTTTATTTCTTCTTCTTCTTCTTCTTCTTCTTCTGCAATAATGAGACTGAGTTACTCTGACCACTGGTCGTCAAGTCTATAAACTGAGAGTCAGTGTGCTCCGCCTCGCAGAGTCGAAGCACTTACGTGACACGGTGCCGTGCTGGCCTGCATCCAGACAACACGAGAGGCCTCACGTCTCAGGACCGGTACGGTGAGCGCTGGCCTGAGTGTCCAGTTTTTCAAAGCTCCCCATGTACAAAACTGGGCCTGGTTGAAATCGGGGCACTTGTTTGTTTAGGTGTACCTGAAATTTGTAACAATATATTTTGATCTTTGGCAAGCCAGCCATGAATACAGTACCATACTGTAAGAAACATCAGTAGTCTTTTCTCTTTTAATTTATTTTTGCTTTTTGTGTTTTTCTCCCAATAGTGGGATCAGCACTTGATTGTCACTGTTGTCCTAGGCAGATTGTTCTGATACTGGGAAGTGGCCCGCTCCCTGGAGCGTTGGCACGTGGGAGGGGAGAACGGGACCAGGGGCACAGTCTCTGCATCACTGTGTGCGCCTGCTCCTGTGCGGCTGGGTGTCGCGTTACCTGCAGGCCATCGGATCACTTGGTCCTTGGATGCTAATTATTGATTTAAGAGGAAGTATTTTGGGAACTGGCAAAATTCAGTGATTTTAGGGAGAAGTAATTTACGGTTAGGTTTCTATCTGTATCTTATGTGGATCATCCAAAACACTGGATTTACAGATACTGAAACGAAAAAAATGTAAGAATTGTGGAGAATTTTAATACTTTAATAAGGATATTAATAAGAAAAACTATTGTAATTATATTAAGAATGGAAGCTCTGAACCTTGGCTGGTGTAGCTCAGTGGATTGAGCACCGGTCTGCAAACCAAAGGGTCCCATTTCGATTCCCAGTCAGGGCACGTGCCTGGGTTGCGGGCCAGGTCCCCAGTAGGGGGAGTGTGAGAGGCAACCACACCCTGATGTCTCTCTCCCTCTTTCTCCCTCCCTTCCCCTCTCTAAAAAATAAAATCACTTTTAAAAAAGTGGAAGCTCTGATAGAACCAACTTAATTTGGGATTTGGCTCACTCACTCGAGAAGCATTTACTGTGCTCCTGTACCTTTGCTGTGCCAGGCACGGGGTCCTGTGGATGCAGAAAGAACTGAACGAAGAGCCCCTGCCTGCTGAACGTTCAGCCTAGCAAGGCCGAGCCTGTATGATCACGCCCAGTGCAATCATACAGAAAGTGTATAGAGACTTTCATCTGATCTCCAGTTTTCCTTCTCAGTGTATTCCTGAATCCTGATGAAAATACAAACTAGAAATACTGTTTTCTCTCTCTTTTGAAGCAATGCATCCAAAAGAACATTAGTTCTTATCTCACATAAAGTCCAGTGATCTTCCTCTGGTTGTCTTTGGCAAGAGGTCTGTTCTGGGTAAGTTGACTGTGGAAGATGCTGTGAACCTGTGAGGAGGCCTGGAAGGCCTAAACGCAGGGGGAAGAGGAAGCGTTCGATTTCTTTGCGTCCTGTTTTGCCATACTCCATTCCAGCGGTTTGTGGGGTCAAGCCAGAGGTCGCCGAGGCGATGGCCGCAGTATGGAGTTTCTCTGTGTTTGAGACACCGACCGAGTTTCTGTTGTTTTTGTTTGGGGAGTCCAGGAGTAGCTGGGGCCGCGTTCCCCCATCTCTGGCCGGAGCACTTGCCTGGACTGGGAGCTAAAACTTCAGTGGTCCCTCACTCAGCATGAGGCCTGAGCCAAGGTGACTCACCCCCGGTCTTGCTTTCTGTGGGCTCCGACACCCGCTGTATTTTCTGAAGGCACACCCACCACAGGACTGAGGTTTTACCCTCTTCTGCTTTCTCTCGAACTGGGCTTTTCCGTGGCACGGCACGTGGGCAGGCCAGCTTGCCCCTCAGTCTGGCCCTGCCTGTGCTTTGTCAGAGAAGTGGCCTGGCGTTTTCATTCTTGGATGGCAGCCGTCCCCCTTCTCCGGCGCTGTTCCTCCACTTGCTCCTTTGGCCCACTCCGTGAGTGGGTCCTCTCCATGGGGATTTGAGGGGGGCGGGGGCATTCAGTGTGCTGCAATTGTTTGAACCTCAAGTTTATAATGGCTTCTTAGACCTTTTTTTTTTTTTTTTTCCATTAAAGGATCAAAAACCCTGGTCCCCAAGCAACCAGTATTGGCATCTGCGTCCTTGGTAAATGTAGATAAACTTAGACGTGCAGTTCAAGATGCTTTTATTTGTTTTCTTTTGTTTTAAGTGGAAACCTTTTGAGCACATATTTATAGACTCTATCAGTTAGAGTGACGTAGATCACAAAGTGGTTGCCAAGGAAGAAGCAATGCGCTGGCCCGGAGTTGGCTCGGCAGAGGCTGGACAAGGGGGATGTTTAGAGGGAATTGACGTCTACGTGTGGGTTTCACTGCCTGAGCCCTAAGGCGCTCTCCTTCTCCGGTTGTGTGATGCTGCCCTCCCCCTCCCGCTCCCCTGTGTCAGGTGGCACGTGAGGCCACTTCCGGGGCATCTTTTCCACCCGCCCCGCCCCTTTTTTATTTCCTAGCATTTCACTTTTTTTTAATCCCTTTTAGCACGCTCATTATTATGTCTCTGCTATTTGATTTCACTTTTTGTCTCTAAAACAAGAGCAGAGGTAGTTAAATATTATTCTTTTTTTTAAGATTTTATTTATTTTTAGAAAGGGAAGGGGGGGAGAGAGAGAGAGAGAGAGAGAGAGAGAGAGAAACATCAATGTGCAGTTGCTGGGGTCTGTGGCCTGCAACCCAGGCATGTACCCTGGCTGGGAATCGAACCTGCAACACTTTCGTTCTCAGCCCGCGCTCAATCCACTGAGCTACGCCAGCCAGAGCTAATATTATTCTTTAGTAGCCAAAATACCTTTACTTCACATTGTATCTTCAGAAGAGTACTATTGTGAACATGTAAGTTTTAAATGTGAGCAAACATTTATGTGGAACACAAGATTTCCAGAAGTTACCATTTGGCTAGAGTCCCAGCTACTGACAGAGGTAGGTGAGAACCCAGGCCTGCTGGCCCTGACCTGAACTCCACGTCGTTTCCATAACGCTAGGCAGTTTCTGGGTTGTCTGGGAAACTTAGATACAGATTA